CCCGGGAAGGGAAGGGAGCGACCGGGCGGGAGCGGAGGGGCGGGGCGGGGCCGGGGCGCCGGGGCCACACAGGGGGAAGGCGCCACCGCCGCCGGGAGGGGTCCGGGAGCGAGAGGTCACTGTCGAGGAGGTAGGGCCAGCGAGTTGTCACCGCCGCGCGGTTCTCGGGGCTGAGCCCCACCCCCCCCAAGCCAAGCCTGCGCGGCCTCGCTGAAGCGCCTCGCCCCGCTTCGCGCCCACCTTTCTAGCCAACCCAAACTGGGCTCCTGGAGGTCCCCCCACCTCCCCATCCCAGAGGACCCCCTGTGTCCTCCAGAGCCCAGGGGCTGGAAGGGCCTGCCAGAAGCGGAGGAGGGACAGGCAGACTGGGGGCATGGCAAGGGCAGTCCGAGCCTTGGAGAGTGGCGAGGGGTGGGAAGCACACGCACCTCTTTCTGGAACCTGACCCAGGGACATCTTTGGCTTTTGTGGCCTCTGACAGACCTCCACACTGTACAGCACACACTGCACCCCCCTAACAGACCAGATGCACCCCTCTAGCTCCAGCGTCTTGGAGTCACACTTTTAAGCCAGAGGAGGAACAGGCAGAGATGGAAGCCACTGTCACTAAGGCAGTCTCCGCGAGTGTCTGCTGCCCCGAGTGATGGGTCCCCAGACCCCACACTGAAGCGTCCTATTCGGCTCATGCAGGCCACCCTTAACACACCAGCTACTGATGCCCAACACTTCACATTCCTCCCCACAATCCCACCTGCCTGTTCACACCCTGGCTCCTGCCTCTCTGCAGCCCCTCCCACACCCTCTTGCACACTCTTGACCGTAATACTCTTTCCAGCTCACCCACACACTTGCTCTGGTCTATTTCCTTCACCTCTTTCCCGGCTTCTGGCCTCAGCTGGCTGCTCAGCCCCCTGGCTTCACCCTCATCTCCCTGAGCACACCCAGGGCCCTCTTGTGGCATAGCCCGGTAGCCTTTCCTTCAATCAAAGCGCAGCTCCGGGACTGACTTTAGTATGCAGAGGAGCCCGCCCTGCCCGCTGCTTCTTTCCTTGGACCTGATTTCCTCTTCTGTCTTTTGGGCCGCAACGGAAGAGAAGGGAAAGGATGGGGATGTTGGAGAGGACAGCAGAGATGGACGGCCCTACCCCATGTTTGGGCTGGGAGAATCTTTCGTGAGCTCAGTGCAGTCTCCCCATGGTAGTCCACTGTCACCAGATGGGTTGATGGCAAAGCTAGGTCTCCCGATTTCAGGCTTATGTTCTCAGTACCCTGTCTCTTCTCACCAGCCAGAGGAGGACAGAAAGGAAAGAAGGGAGGAGGGGGCAGCCAGCCAAGAGGACGAAGAAAGCTGCGTTTCTATGGGCCTTTCCCTGGATAGGACCCCTGGATCTCACACCACTGTACACCTTCCACCTCTTAGGCCACGCCCCAGATCTCCTCAATAAATTCCTCCAAGGTCACCCAGATACTGATCCTGATCCAGTCTGAGAGCAGGACTTTTTCTTCTCAATCCCATATTTAGCTTCTGGACCCAACATTTAGGGTGTACAGCTGTTAGTCCCCTGTCCCAGGTGCAGTCTCCCCACAACCACTCTGAACATCTACACTGCTGAGCCCTGCCCCTCAGTGACGGTGGTCAACCTGTGGGATAGGCCAGGCCTGAGGGGCAGCTGGCTAAAGGTCTGTCAATGCAACAGGTTGAGGTGGCCCTTGTGCTTCGGTGGGCTAAGGCAGTGTGTGTGTGTATGTGTGTGTGTGCGCGCGCGCGTGCACGCACGCATGTGTTCATGAGGAGGGCCTTGGTTCCCAGGGCCCAGGGATCTGGATAGAATTAGGGGCTGGCCTGGGTGGGGGCCAGGATGGGGGTTGGGGGGGCTGCAGCAGGAAACGTGAGCCACACTCATTAGCTCCTCACGTGCTCAGCTGGATTTATAAACACAAGGAGGAGACGGGATGTAAACAATCAGTGGGCAGCAGCCAGAGGCAGAGCTGGGGCTGCAGCGGGCTGGAGACGAGGGCTCAGGGAGGGGGCTGGGACATGGCATGATGGTGGAGTTCACCTGTATGGTGTGAACCTGAGAGGAGAGAAGTGGAGGGCTCTAGCAAACCCACCACACAGTCCTACCCAGGGACACAGGGAGCCCCCTCCTCAGTGCTCACACCCAGCGCAGGTGTTCTCTTCCCAGGCCTTCCTGCTTTGCCGCCTGAGATATGGGCACATCTTGCCCAGAGTCGAAGCTGTCGTAGCAGAGGGAAGAGTCCTGCCCTTCTACCTGCCTCTTTTCCTCTCCTGCTTCCTCTCTGATTCCTGAGACTCCTTGCCTCTTTCTGCTTCTCTCCAGGACCGGTCAGTAGGCTCCTTCTGCTCTCCCCTGTCCCCCCCACCCAGCCAGCCTGCAGTGACACAGTTACCTCAGAACTGAAATATTCCTGGAAACACCGGCCTTGTCTGGTTAATTTCATGAGCCGTTTTTCTGCCCAGATGACTTAGCTCTTGTTTATCCAAATGCTTCTCCCCCTGCTGTCCCTGTGTAGGGAGCTAGTCTCCCTAGGGATGCCCCACAGGACCCAGGCGGGGAGGGGGAACCAAGCTGCAGGCTGGGCTCCTCATCACACCTACTATGGGATGTACAGTCTAGTCCTAGGATTCTGGCCCTAGGGCTGCCCCAGGCAGGGTGGGGTGAAGAGGCCAGCCAAGCCTCCAGTTTCTGCTTCAGCAGGACTTTGGCATTGCCACTAACTTCCAGCAAGGCTATACTCAATCCTGAAAGCTGTCTGGAGCCTAGACAGGCCATAGCTCAACTTATCACAACTGTATCCAAAACTAACTCTACAGGTTACCTACAGAATGCTGAGACAAACTCAGCCAGATGCCCAGGGCTTGGTACGAAGGAGAAGGACCTGGGCATATTTTGGAATGTGATGATCAGGGAATAGAAGAGTTAGGCAAAAACTAAGGATGGAAATGAGGACTGGGAAGGAACATTCAGGAGGAAAACCACAGGCTGCAGATGGGGGAAAGTAGGGCCTGTTTACCAAGCAAGCAGTTAAATGTCTGACCCTGCTGTCTGAAAACACATGTGAAAACACACACTCACACATGCACACTGAAGCCAAGATTACTCAGAAGAGCAGGGTCCCTGTGACAGGTGATACCCCATTCCCACACTCCACCTGCAAAGCTAGCTAGTCAAGCATCTAACTGTCCATACTGAGTGCTTGGGTCATAGCAAAAGTCCCCAGCTGCCTCCTGGACTCTGTAAGAAAGATACTATCCTGGATTGTAGCCCTCTCTAAAGCCCTAAAGATTGAGGATCATGATAGACTCTAACCCTAATCTAGTCTTCATTCCTTCTTAACACCAAACCCTACTTTTGATTCTAAGTAAAGATTGTTAAGCTTATCCACTTGTTTCTAAGAAACGTCATTATAGAAAAATTTGGAAGTATAAAATATAAACTAGAGGAAAGAAACCACTTGCCATCATACCTATCCAAGCTTAAAACCCAAACTAGCCTGGCTCTTTGTGACATGCCAAGCAACATCCCAGCTGACATGTAAATCAACAAATTCATAAACCTTAGCCCCAGCTAACCTTCTGCCCAAACTTAACCACATCCCCCTCCTGGACTCAAACCTCAACCACATTCAATCAACCAAATCCCAAGTCTAAACTAATCTTAAATGTTAAGACTAACCTAGTTCCTAAACCTAACCTAGCCCAGTGCTAATTTTAGCCCTACCGTTTCCTAGCCCAAATGTACACTGATTTTGATCTTGGGCCTCACCTGAAAGCCCCCCCAAAAAAGCATGTTTCCCACCTAACTATGGTCCTTCACCCCAATTCAACTCCTGGCTTTTGGGGATGTCTAAACCCTTTATTGTCTTTTGCTGATCAGCCCGCTTTAATCACATATCTTTCCCCTTTCCTTAGAACCCCAGATTAAAAATGGGGCAGACATTGGTAGGGCCTGTTGGCGTAGGCCTGTGATCCCAACACTCAGGAAGCTGGGGCAGATGGATCATGGGTTCAAGAGGAGCCTGGACAACCTAGGGAGACCCCGTCTCAAAAGACAGAACAGGGCTGTGGATATAATTCAGGGGTAGAGCGCTTGCCTACGTGTGTAAGCCCCAAGTTTAATCTCCAACAGTACAAAGAGGGAGGGGTGCAGAGTTCCACACTGATTGAGGAGAATCCTTTGGTCTCAGTCCCTATCCTTGCCATACCCAGGAACTATATCCAAGCCATCCTAGGCCCTTCAGCCTGACCCTGACTTTCTAACCCTAGCCCTGCCTCCAGTGGGGCAGCTTGCTAGAGCTGACATGTACCTACCCTTTAGTTCCCTTCAAGCTGGGACTGGAAGACTGGGGGAAGAGGCTGGGATACAACTGAAATCCCAGTATATTGACACAAAGACCCAGCCTGCCCCTCTGAGTACACATGTGCACACATATTTTGGCACATAGACACAAATGCCACAGAGTTTTAGCTGACAGATACAGTCAGATATTTACTGATAGACACAAATGTCAGGTCCTCATCCTTACACACATACCTCCACACACACTCTTGGACCAGGAATGTTTCCCCTCTTCTGTCTCCCATCTGGTCTCTCACCCTCACTACCCCCTCCCAGCTCAAGGTGGGGACAGACACCTGAGGGGCTGCCAGCTCTTCCCCCACTTGGCCTTGGGCCTACCCTCAATCTTCCCCATCCTGTCCACAGGGGACTCGTGGGGGATGTTAGCTTGCCTGTGCACCGTGCTCTGGCACCTCCCTGCAGTGCCAGCTCTCAATCGCACAGGGGACCCAGGGCCTGGCCCCTCCATCCAGAAAACCTATGACCTCACCCGCTACTTGGAGCATCAACTCCGGAGCTTGGCTGGGACCTACGTGAGTATCCAGCTTAGTCTGGGCACTGGGTAAAGAGGAAGGCGAGGAGAGAACATGGTGGAGGGGTCCTGATGAATGATGGGGGGATGAGGAGCCCTTTGGCTCCAAGCAGTTTCCCTGTCTGGCCTATCTCCTGCCCTTCCCTCTTAGGTGCCCCCCCCCCCAATCCTGGCCCCAGGACTAGGCATGTGGGTAGGCCTCGCACCCGCCTTGGCCCATTGCCCCACTGGCTGCCAGCCCAGCCGCCCGCCTCCCCCTGGGGGCCGGGGAAGTCTCTTCTGTTTACACCGTGTTGTGGTGTCTCTTGTACGGGTGGGGCTGGGTGGGGATGGAGGGGCCCCACCTTCTATGCCTGTGTTCCAGCTCGCCTCTATCCTCAGACCTGGGGCCCTGCGGTTCTGGACCCAGGGGCTCCCTCTGTCTGCCTCTCCCATTCTGGCCAGGCCTCTAAGGAGGGTCATGTGGGGGGGGGGGCTGCAGATTCCAGGCCAGGCATGGCAGTGGGTTCAAGGGTGTGGAGGGTGGTTATACCACGCATATCTGAGGGTAGTCCAGAGGGGTTCATAGAGCCCAGGAAAGAAGGAAGAGGATCAGAGGAGCTGAGGGCCATGGGGAGCCAGCCCCTCTTCCCGTGTTCCTCTTCCATATCCCAGACCCTACTCTGGAGCCAGGGAAGAAAAAAGGAGGAGGGTGGCGGGGGAGCTGGCTCCAGCCCCAGGATACACCGAGGAAATTAGTTTGTCTCTGTGCTTGTCAGCGTGTGAACCTCCCCCTGGGCCCTTGCCTATCCCAAGCCTCGCCCCTCTTTTCCTTCCCTCCCAGTTGCACATCTCCACACCCCCTTCCCTGGGCCCCAGGCTCTTCCCCTGAGGGGTTGGCAAGGGCTTTGCCCTCTCCCCTATACTCCACTGCCGTCCATACCCTTCCTCCTACCCCTTCTTGAGATTGCCTCAGTTTCTTCCTTCTACAGCCCTGCTCCTAGCAATTGAATCCTCTTTCTCTGGGGTGTCGGTGAGTACCCTACTGTCCTCTGCCCCTTTAGGTGGTGGACTGGGCCTGTCAAAGAGGAGTTTTGGTGCCACCAGGCCTCTTTGCCTTTAACACCAGCTCTCCTCTGACTGGTTTCCCTGTGCAAAAAACTTTTGCTTGACTCTGCTACCCCTCTAATTCCGACCCTTTCTCTCCTGACTTCCCCTGCCAAATTTCTTGAAGGAGTGGTCTACACCCGCTGCCTCTGCTTCCTCTCCACCCACTCACTCCTTAACCCCCTGCAATCTGGCTTCCAGGCCACAGCAACGGTCTCTCTCAGGTCGCAGGCATCTCCTCACCAAATCGACAGCGTTTTCTGCAGTTCACTGTCCTGTTCTATAGCTGCGCTGTGGAGCCCTGCTGCCTTCCTGAGCCCTTCCTTGGCCTGTTACTCTCAGGGGCCACCTTCTACATCTCCAGTCTGGCCTCCTGGCTCCTCGAGACTCTTCTTCCTCTCTGCCTTGCCCTGTGGTGGGCACTGTCCACCCAGCCAATCAGCAAGTCCTTCCTGAGAGGCTCCTTCGTGGTTTTCTCTCTACACCTCTCCGTGGGAGAACTCATCACTTCCACTGTCTTACCTATCACCTCATGCAAATAACATGCTTGAGAAATTCAGGAGGCCTGTGTACAGAGAGGCCTACCGTGGAGGCAGGGCCAGTGTCAGGGAGCAAGAACAATCAAAGCTCTGGGAGTGGGTATCTCCCTGTGGCAAGCTGGCGGCTCTGCTCTCCTTTCCCATCACCCTCTCCTTTTCACAGCTGAACTACCTGGGGCCCCCTTTCAACGAGCCTGACTTCAACCCTCCTCGGCTAGGGGCAGAGAGTCTGCCCCGGGCCACTGTCAACTTGGAAGTGTGGCGAAGCCTCAATGACAAACTGCGGCTGACCCAGAACTACGAGGCGTACAGCCACCTCCTGTGTTACTTGCGTGGCCTTAACCGTCAGGCTGCCACAGCTGAGCTTCGGCGCAGCCTGGCCCATTTCTGCACCAGCCTCCAGGGCCTGCTAGGCAGCATCGCAGGCGTCATGGCAGCTCTAGGCTACCCACTGCCCCAGCCTCTGCCAGGGACTGAGCCGGCCTGGGCCCCTGGCCCTGCCCACAGCGACTTCCTCCAGAAGATGGATGACTTCTGGCTGTTGAAGGAGCTGCAGACCTGGCTGTGGCGTTCAGCCAAAGACTTCAACCGGCTAAAGAAGAAGATACAACCTCCAGCAGCCGCAGTCACCCTGCGCCTGGAGGCCCATGGCTTCTGATCTCTGACCCTTACCCTCCCACCCGGTCAACTGTGTTTCTGTTCTTGGGCGGGGGAGAAACCGCGTGTTGAGCTTGTTGAGGCAGGAGACAGTGGGAGCACCGGCCCTCCGCAGCCTTTGATGGGGAGTGTGATGCGATAAGCCCTGTCCCCTGCCTAGCTCCCAGAGTCCTACAGGTCTGGGGAAAAAGTGCAGTGGGCACCACCTGTTCACAGAGGTAACCTGAGGGAGCCAAATGGCTCTGTGGGTTCTCTGCCTCCTGCTTTCTGCTCACCACTTACCAGTGACCACCTAGTTCCTCATGTGGCACTTGCAGAAGCACACTTGGAGGGCATGGATGGGGGTCACCATAGCATGTGCCTTTCTGTGGTAAAGCCCCTCAGCTGTCCACCTCTCCTAATGAGTGTTGCTCTCCTACCCCTATAATTACATACCCAGTTCAAGAAAGAACCGGGAAGACCGATCTAAAGAAGAGAGATAAAAAGTGGAGGGGATGGAGTCTGTGCTGGGGGTAACCTAGAAACCAGAAGACAGAATACTAAGAGAGCAGCAGCGACAGACCAGACCCAGCAGTCACCGAGGCAGTTGGTGCCACTGAGTAGAAAACTCAACCCGTGTTGAACATCAGGACCTTGCCTTGAATTTTCTTGCCAGCATTTCGGTGCCTCCTCTCCGCCCCCTTTCCCAGGGTATCTGTGGTTGCCTGAGCTGGGGAGGGCAGCCACAGCCACAGCCACAGGGTTTCCTGAAAGTTTACATTGCAGTAGCATTGTGGGGTGAGGGGGGATGGCTCCCCCAGGCCCTATCCCCAGCCCCACCCACTCACGACTCTAAGTTTGTTGTATTAATATTTATTTATTTGGAGATGTTATTTATTAGATGATATTTATTGCAGAATTTCTATTCTTGTATTAACAAATAAAATGCTTTCCCCAGAACTTCATCTCCTTGCCTGGCCTGGCACTCTTCCTAGGGCACATTACTGGCGATCCTGGCCCTGCCTGCCCTGATTCCCATTGTCCCCTTACCCCATAGTGGCACACAGGACTTGAGGCACAGGCTCACATTCTGATGGGCCTGGGGTCACACAGACACCTGGGACCCATCGATCTGCACCCCGTACCCATGATGCCTCAGTTGTTCCCAGCAGCTGTGTGTTACACGTTACACCACGTCGTCTGCCCGTCTTCCTTGCCTCTGGATTGCTTTACTGGTCCCCTAGGTCTATCTCCCAGCCTTGAATTTCTCCGTGCTAGCTCACCCTGCGCTTGGTGAACAGAGCTGTTCTCCTTTCCAGCTAGCCCCAAGCACTCACCCCTGGGCGTTCAGGCCCCAGCTTTCCCAGGCCCCCCCAAGCAGTGGCTGCCTGCCGGGGCCCTTGCCTGAAACACCCTTCCTCTCCTAGGGAGGATGGACGATGACCAAGTCAGTGTTCTCGGCTATGGTTTGCCCCCCCCCCCCCCCAGCGTCAGGGCTTGTGAGAAGAGAACGCCTGCTGGACTGCAAAAGAATGGGATGGACAATGTGTCAGGGAAGACCTAATTTCAAATCTCATTTTATAGCCCATTAGTGGGATGACCTTAGACAAAGTTTTTAGGTCTCCAGTTTCCCGGTCTGTAAACTGGGGATGATTAAATATGTTTATTTGATTGTTGGTGAGGGTAGTGGAAATTATAAAAGTGAGATACTTGGCCATAGCAGCAGCTATTGTAACAATTACAGATTCAGACACATCTTTGTGTCATGACATTCTAGTTAGGCGCTACTGGGTAAATTAATGGGTTAATTGTTCCCAAGGCAATACATGGATATTTTAAGATAACCTTCTAGAGACACTGCCTTAAGCAAGGAAGTAACAAATGATGGTCATGTCAGTCAGTTGACAGATACTTTAAAGATCTAATTACTTGCTTGTCACTGCTAACCTGCGAGGGAAGCCAAAAGTCTCAGACCTACCTTGTCTCCTGCCCTTGTGGGCCTCACAATCTACTTGGGAAAAAAGATCAGCTTCCCTGAACTAATAAGGCACACTCCTGTGATGAGGACGAGGCAAGCGCACGAGGCCCTAGAAAAGGGTGAGGTCAGGGTGTAAAGTGTAGGAGCTACGGACCTGCTTGTGGGCTCGCCAAGCTCTGGGCAATGTCCTAGAGTTACCTGGTCCAAGTGGAACATGCCCAGCCATCTGCTCAGCCACCCACAGCTCTGCTCCTTGCCTAACAAGACACTGGCAGGGGGAGGGGGGAGTGTATCAGGGCCTTCTCTCTACACAGGCACAATATGTCTTGGCTCATACTATGCAAAGCACCCAGCAAGGGGCTGTGAGGAAGATGACTAGGGAGGCAGGGGTCCTGTCCTCAGAGTTTACACAGTACTAGCTGGTTAGGTTCCTAGAGGTTCGACCTTCCTCTTTGCTCTTTGTCCTTCTCCTTCCCTCTCTCCTTCCTTTCCTACTTTCCTTCCCTCCCTTCATCCTCCCTCTTTTTCTTTCTCTTTTTTTTGGCCCAAAATTTTATTTATTCGTATTCTGTATATGAGTGTTTTGCTTGCATGTGTGTAAGTGCACCCATGTCCTGCAATGCCCGAGGAGGTCAGAACAGGGTGTTGGATCCCCTGGAGTTACATATGGTTGTTACATATGGTTGTGGGTGCTGAGAACTGAATCCGGGTTCTCTGCAACAGCAGCCAGTGCTCTTAACTGCTGAGCCATCTCTCCAGCCCCTCTTTTGGCTTTTTGAATCAGCATCTCATTCTGTAGCCTAGGCTGGCTTTGAACTTGCCATTTGCCTGCCTCCCCCTCTGAACTGCTGGGATAACACACATCCACCACCTTGTCCTCTCTTTTTTTCTCTCTATACCCAGCTCAGGCTTCAACTTAAAGGTGTTCCATTAATGTGTTCTCTAAGTGTGGAATGAAACAATCTAGAAAAAGGAGTAAGAAGACCTGCCGTAAATGCCAGGTTACATGGCAGGTTTGCTGAAATGTTGACAGGTGCAGGGAATGGGCCAGCAATGGCTCAGTGAGAATGGTGCTTGAGCCAAGCTTTGACAGCCTTTGACAGCCTGAGTTTGATCCCTAGAACCCACATGATGGAAGGAGAGTCCAATAAGTATTTTAAAAGGAAGGGGAGGGAGGGAGGGAGGGAGGGAGGGAAAGAAAAAGTAAAAGGACAGTAGAAAGGAACGAAGAAGGAAGGAAGGAAGGAAGGAAGGAAGGAAGGAAGAAAGGGAGGGAGGGAGGGAGGAAGGAAGGAAGGAAGGAAGGAAGGAAGGGAGGAGAGGGAGGGAGGGAGGGAGGAAGGAAGGAGGGAGGAAGAAAAGAAAAGGAAGAAAGCCCAAGGAAGTGGAAGTGTAGGGTGGAGCAGTACCTTAGGCTGGGAAGGGTGGTGTCTGATGCCACTGCTGTATTTACAGTACCTGATGCACAGCAAACGCTCAGTGGCCACCTCTTGCACAAATGCACAGGGTGGGATTCCATTCTGTTCCCAGAGCGTGGGCAGACTTTGAATAGGCGGAGGTGGGGGAGGCAAGGGAAGAGTGAAGTTTGCTGGCTCCTTTACAGGCAAGCAGCATTTTGAGAGCAAGCTCTAGGACTACTTCGTTGTGGATCCTGATGGCACAACTCATGGCGCAAGTAAAGTCCTTGGTAATCTGATGTAAAGAAGACTGAGGGAGAAAAAAAAGACACCAGCTTGGGCAGTTAGGAAGCCACAGGCAACCATTTTGTTTTTGATTTTTAGACTAGGCTGGCCTCAAACTCACAGCAATCTCCCTGCTTCAGCCTCCTGAGTGCTGGAATTGCAGGCATGTACCACCATGCCCACCCCACAGGAACCTTTGAAATAGCAGGCGAGAGGCAGGCACCAGATTGTGAGATGAAGAAGGGTACAGTGGGAAGCAAGCAGAAGTAAGTACACATTCTGAGTCTCCTGGCAAAGGGACAGGACCAAGGGAGGCTTCTTGTTTGTTTTGTGGTGGTTTTTTTAAAAAAATATTTTATTTATTATTTCAATTTTTTATGTGTATGAGTGTATTACCTGCATGTAGGTAGGTGCACCCGTATCATGCAGTGCTCAAGAGCTCAGAAGAGGGTGTCGGATTCCGTTGAAATGGAGTTACAGATGGTTGTTAGCCATCATGTGGGTGCTGAGAATTGAACCTGGGTCCTCTGGAAGAGCAGTCAGTGCTCTTAAACCCCTGAGCCATCTCTCCAGCTCCATTGTGGTGACTTTTTTAGATAGAAGAGATCTAAACATGTTATTACCAAGTGTGGAGGTGGTGGTTGTGGAAGAATGGAGAGTTGGGGAGTTGACTGAGGTGATGAGGAGAGAATCCAAAAGCATGTGGGGCAGCCACAGTTAGAACCAGGTGATTCTAGCAGACACCTCTTTGTTGTGAGCCCCATTCTATGGCATTTCCTACAGTCAGGTATCGAGGTGGAGGCAGAGTAAAGAGGGCATTCTCCAAGGCTGAAGACCAGCAAGGCAGGAATGGCAAAGAGTCAAGAGGTGAGGGACCCTAGGGTGCTGACACTGAACTGTTGAGTAGCTGTGAGCCACTGTGCCACACAGTGCAGGGACGGTGAGCATCGGACAGAAACGGGCAGGGAATGGACTGGGAGAGGTGCCTCCTGGAGTTCACTCATACCAAGGATGCAGAATGTTGGAGTGCGGGGTGGGGGGCAATTGGTGAGAACAGGATTAGGGAGGGCACTTCAGAGTTCGAGGGTGTTTTTGTTGTTGCTGTCATTTTCTGTTTTTTGTTTTTTTTTTTTTTTGAGATAGACCAGGCTGGCCTTGAACTTACTACGTAAACCAAGGCTGGCCTGGAACCCCTGATCCTCTTACTGCTACCTCCCATACTGGGATTACAGATGGGTGCCACCACTCGAGTTCTTTGACAGTCCTCCTAATAATTCTCAATCATGGTGACCAGGGTTGCAGGCCCCACATGTGGGATTTGGCAACATATCCCAGAGTCACGTGTAGAAATGCCTGTATCTCAGGGCAGGTAGCTCCTGGTAGATGACAGGACTGTTAGTGTTTCCTGCACTTTTGTCTTGGTTCTCCATCCACAGGTGCTTTGGTTTTTGGTTATCTAGGTCACACCTCTTTCTTTTTTTTTTCATCTTTTCGAGACAGGGTTTCCCTGTAGCCCCAGCTGTCCTGGAACTCACTATGTAGACCAGGCTGGCCTTGAACTCACAGAGATCCACCTGCCTCTGCCTCCCGAGTGCTGGGATTAAAGGTGTGCGCTGCCACGCCTGGCTAGATCACACCTCTTAAGTGTGGCCTTAGAGTCGGAAATCCATGTGTCCAGAGGACAACATAAAATCAAGCCTGCCAGGGACCCTACGGTATTGGAGGCAGGTCACTGTCTGCAGAACTCCTGCGTTCTGAGGAAGAAGGGAGTCCAGAAGAAGGGAGATGGTTGGGGGGGGGGGAATGGGACATGATGACACACGACTTTCATCTTCAGAGAGCACATGTGCATTAGAAACCTCATTGCCATCTTCAGTGCTTGGAAATGCACCTGTGTTCCAAAGAATGCGCAGGCAATGGAGAACCGGAACCTGGAAGAGGAGGCACCTTCCTGGAAGGTAAGTGCCCTCATTGAGGAGGCTCTGGGTGGAGGCAGATCATCACACCTTGCCAGAGACTAACACAATGGCCAGGACTCAGGCCCCCTCAGTAGTGAGGGGACTCATCCAAACACTCATCTTGCACAAACACATTCACTAGCTGCCACAGCCACCCAAAGTGGGGAAGGCAGAGGGAGGCCCTTTGTTCCCCTTAGCCTAGAGCACACAGGTCAGTGAATCAGGCCTGGCTGGGTGGTGGTTCCCCTGAATTCTCCCTTCTTCTCTGAGCCACAACTGCCCCTGCCTTTGTCCCTTCAATTCTTGAGCTCCTTGACTCAGTCAGACTGGTACTCAAATTGCCCAGCAAGGGACAAAGCCCTTGTTAGTAGAGTGGTGATGACAACAGTGAGGGGAACTATGAGAAAGCTTCTGGGTCAGAGTTCCAATCCAGGGTCCTTAGCCCGACTAGTTCAGAGATTACCCGGAGGTCTCTTCCCGACTTGCTTTGACCTCCAGGACCTGGCTCTTGGGGCTGCACTAACTACCACGTCTTCCCGGCTGGGTAAAGTCTGACACCTGGCGACCAAAGTGGGAAATGACCAGAAGGGCGCCTTTTCAGATCTCCCCAGAATGTCTCCTAAACTCATGGCAAAGGTGAAATGGGAGATGACCAGAGCTGGCATGGAGGGGAACATCAGAGACCCAGGGAAACTTTCCCTTCCCCTGGGTTCCCACCCTTTAAGTCCAAGAAACCCAGAACCTACCAGGATAAGGACAGGTGTCTGAGAGGGTAGAGTGGGACTAGGAGGAGCTTGTGAAGGAATGGGGCCTATGAAGAAATGGGGCCAGAAGTTTGAGAAGTTGAGGGGTACTCATCTGGTTGCCCAGAATTCAGAGCTGCCCCAATTTCCAGCTTGGGGTGAGTGGCAGGGTCCGAGGGCCCTAGGGAGGTGCTAAGAAAAGGCAAGGAGAACTGGATGTACCCCACGGCTCACCGAGCCCCAGGCAGTGGCTCCTCTCTACCTGCTCCATCTTGCCAGCTCTACCTGGCTCTACCCACAAACCCCATCTCCATCTCAAACTGGGGTAGGGGATAGGGCTTTCATGCTATGCACATACAGTGCTGACCGCCCCCCGCCCCCAACTGCCACACTGTTTGAGCTAAGCCAGGCTTAATCCCCCTTCTTCTGGTGCGGTCAGCAGTGAACCTCAGGCCCAGGATACGACTTCTGTTCCAGTTCTTTGCTTTCCTAGTCTCCCCAGGACTTTGACCTACTGAGGCCTTTAGTGTCTCCAAGGTGCAGTAGTTAACCCCTGCTAGTCTCATTACCAGCCTCTGGGTGTCAGGAGTGACCAAGGACACTTTCCCATAGGGGTCAGGCCTGAACCCCCATTCAGACCCCTGGCCTGGTCTCCTGTTTGAGCAGTTTGGCGGATGGGCCCAAGCAGCTGCCTGAGTAGGGGAAAGTGTTCTGAGTGGGAAGAGGTAAGAGGTGGGCAAGGTTAGGGAGGGGAGGAAGAAAAGACCTGAAGATGGGAGGTTGAGGGCCAGTTAGTTGCCACTACACTACCTAGATGCTGAATGGGACAGGGATAGTCCCAGTGCTGCTTGGGAGAGGAGAGCATGCTTCCTGGGGCAAACTCCCTCAACCCAGGCTGGAAGGTCAGTCCTAGTGCTTCCGCACTCAGGTGAAATATTCTGGCTCTTTTTCTGGGGGGTGGGAGGAACTAAAGCACATGGGAAACATCTTCCGGGCAATGTGGGAGAGGCTAGTTGGGCCTTAGCCAGGCGGAGCTGGGGGCACCAAGCAGGGATGGCTCAGCCAGCATCCACAGAGCAGGTCCGGGTGCCAGGGGCTGCCAAAGGAGACAAGGGAATAGGCCCAGGCAGCAGTGGGAGCCGCTGTCATCGGCACACCCCATTTCACGCTCTCTGGGCGGTGGCAGGCCCCACGGCTATCAGCTTTCAGGGGTGGGAGGGACTAGGAATGAGGAGGGGTCTGCCCCACCCTTGGCTCCTTGCTCCCTTGGGGCTTTGTGGACTCAGGAAGTGGGTGCCCCACACCTTTGGGAACAGCCCCCTAGTCCCTTGCTGAGGCCCTCTATGAAGGAGTGATCAGTCCCAGGGCCTGGGAACTAGCCCTCTATGGAGCACTCTGAGCCCAACTGGACCCAGTACTTATACCCTTCCTGTCCTGGTAGAGAACCTTCTCAGCTGCCCTCTCCAACTCGGCAGGCCTCCTTCTCCCTGGATCTGGGCCCCACTCAATCCAGGAGGCAGATGGGAGATTAGACCTAACCCAGCCCAGACAATGAGGCAGGAAAGGATCATCCAGCTCTCCACAGTGTGCCCACAGCTCCCTCCTTCTCAAGGAAGGTGATGGAGAGGGCCAGACCAGGTTCCTGGAGACACAGCCTTCTCCGCCCCTCTGGTAGTCTCTTCTCTAGAGTGACCTTTTCTGTCCCCACATGCACCAGAGGCCCAGCCCTCTCTAAGCCAGATCCTGGAGCTTTGGGGAACGAAGGCAAAAACCCCCAAGCATCATTAGACCCTGCACCCGTGAAAGGAAGAACCGGATGGGATCTCCAGAGGCTGATTAGTGCTGGGTCAGTCCCAGTGCTGGTTCCCAGACTCCCACTGGCCAACAGTTTCGCTTGCTGCCAGGAAGTTGGTGAGGGGGAGGCGGTAGTAGGGGTGAGTCAGCGATGACAGGAGCCCCAAGACAAAGGTCATGGGTGGAGAATGGAGAGATGCTGTTTACTGCAGTCTACCTCCTCCAGGAGGCCTTCTTCCAGTGCCAGCCGCCCTCCCCTAGCTCTAAGGAGAATTTACTCTCCCTTCCATCACTAACAGCTGTACATCCCGTCTGCCCTGCAAGTCTGTGCCCTCCTGAGGTGTTCGGGAAAGGCTGGTCACACAGTGCCTGCTTGTCACCAAGAGCCGTGATCCCGATTTACCTACACTTCTCATTTTCAAAAGTCTTAAGATGTCTATTTTGAGATAGCATGTTTCCACATGCTTAGAAAATGCTTAGAAAAGTGCTTGGCATGTGGTAAGTGCAGTTGAGGGTAAGGCTTGTGGATATTTCCTCCTCATGTGTATATTATCGTGAGAAACGGCAGCCTGCCAATGAAGAACCCGGCTGCATTGTGAGTGGTGACTAGATCCTGGCATCCTGCTTGAATGAATCTCCCTGCCTAGCAGAGTGGACAGAGAGTCTGTGGGAAGCAGGCAAGGCAACCACCTGCCTGGACTGGGTGGACAAGGTCTTTGGGGGCAGACTGTGAGAAACGAACCCCTGGGCGTCTCCAGCCAGGTCTCCTGGGGCCGGTGAGGGTGGGGTGGGAGCAGGGAAGGGGCTGGATTAGTCGGGACTCTTTGGACCTAGAGATCTGCCCCCACAGCTCTTCGGGGCTATAAGGAGTAGAAAGTTCCAGCTGGGCTCAGGGGACTTACGAACCCGCCACGGGGATTAATGAGGCTGAAAAGAACATTTGCCTAGGAAGGAAAAACGGGAAGTGAGAGGCCGAGGATAACGCTCTATACGTCCCTGGGGACCCCCGTGGACCAATGACCGGCGGAGGAGGTGGTGAAGTCTGGGGCATCTTGACAGGTCCCGCACCGCCGGGCCCCTCCTCCCCAGCACAGCTGCAGAGGCACCCGCCACGGGGATTAATGAGGCTGAAAAGAACATTTGCCTAGGAAGGAAAAACGGGAAGTGAGAGGCCGAGGATAACGCTCTATACGTCCCTGGGGACCCCCGTGGACCAATGACCGGCGGAGGAGGTGGTGAAGTCTGGGGCATCTTGACAGGTCCCGCACCGCCGGGCCCCTCCTCCCCAGCACAGCTGCAGAGGCCCCGCCCCTGCCCTGCGCCGCCTGCCATTGGCTGGCGCAGGCCCCGCCCCCGCCCCCGCGGTGCCATTGGCGCTTGGGTGTCTGCGGGCTGCGTGCTTTCGGGGGGGGAAGAC